AAGGGCTTTTGCTTTGTCTAATGACAAATGTAATCCAACATGGACCCTGCGTGCCACTGCGAATGTGCTACCCAAACAGTGCATGACTGCGGCATCGGTTTCTAAAGTACTATGCGGACGTTCTGTTCCAGACTTTGTGACATAAGCACTGGGAGAGTAGCGCACTGACGTGTGAAGACCTTTGCTTGTGATACTTTTCCCCTGAAGGCATGTTTTCCCGGTTGCTCTTGCGCCAGTTATCCATGTTGGCCGCATGACATTGCTATTGTCAAAAGGTCTACCCCACAATGTGAAATGTAAATAAATGTGTAAAATGGAATGTGCTGAGTGAAAATACCTTGTTTCGGGCCGGAGAAATAGAGCCCCTGTGATTGCCATGGTCACAATAGCATTCGCCCTTCCAAGGCAGTGTGCGGACCCCGGTTCGTCATTTATTTGGTGACGTCACAAAATTTGATGACAAATTCAAACCCCCTGAGTGTCGGCACAGTTCCATGTCGACATGGAATTGCAAAAATGTACCGATGGCAGTGTGCTGCTTAAGCACTCCGCACATTCATTGTTGCTGCTTGTTTGCTTGAATGTGATATTGCCACTCTGTTGCTTGAGTATTTGGACGAATGTTCTTTTAACTTTCCCTTAACCTCCCTTAGGCTGTCTTGTCTGGTGACATGACATTCAGTCATCTGATTCCTTCCAATGAGCAGCCACTTGTTGTATTCGGTTGACACAATTGAGCATTTGGTGGTAAGATCAGGCATTGCAATCTGACAGCCTAGTTTAATCCACACGATGGATCAACTGCCCTCATTGCCACCACACAGCATGGCCACACTGCCACTGCTGAGCTGTTGTTGGACAATGGAGCTTCAGTGGATCATGCTGATGAAGTGAGAGAAAGGATGTTGTCAGCCAAGGACTTTGTGCAGTTGTGAGAGCATACAAGCAGGACATCTGTGCAGTTTTTGTGCAATGCCTTGTGGTGATGTATCACACACCGTTGTCTGTGTGTGTAATTGTGGCAGTAGAAGCCAGGTGCTGTTGACAATTTTTTTCTCACAGTGCCACTTTTGAGCGTGGTTGAGATGTTGCACCTGATTCTGAGTCAGGGCAGGCAATGCAGTTGCCAAGTGCAGCACCTGGCCTTCCATTGAAGATCTACCACTGGAACTTGGCCGTAGCATAGTAATCCTGTCTTGTCTCGTGATGTAACATATAGGATGGATCAACTGCCCTCATCGTCGCTGCACAGCAGAACCACACCTCCATCGCTGAGTTGCTGTTGCGGGCAGGAGCTTCAGTGGACTTTGCTAACAATGTAAGAGGGAGGATCTTCCTGGCAGCCAATATTGTGTCTTGTGTATGGCAGATGTGTGTCCTGATAGTTGGTATAGACAAGTTACTGGATTGTCTGTGCACTGCCGTCCACTTGAACTGGCCAATTGCAGAGGAAGGAGCCACAACATGAGGACACAATTTTACATCTGAGGATGCTATTCACTACTCATCCAAAACTGTCGACTTGCATTCTGATGCAGGCTGGACTAAGCTCTTGCCAGCTTCATATTTGACACCTGTCTTGTCTGGTGACATGACATTCAGTCATCTGATTCCTTCCAATGAGCAGCCACTTGTTGTATTCGGTTGACAAAATTGTGCATTTGGTGTTAAGATCAGGCATTGCAATCTGACAGCCTAGTTTAATCCACAGGATGGATCAACTGCCCTCATTGCCACTGCACAGCATGGCCACACTGCCACTGCTGAGCTGTTGTTGGCCAATGGAGCTTCAGTGTATCATGGTGACAAGGTGAGAACAGTTCATGTGCATGTATGTGACCTGATATTGAGCCAGAACATCACTGTTGCAGTTGGACACTCTCCACAACATATGCAAGGAACCTGCTGAAATATGGCACTTGTGTAAGTCTTTGGCGAGTTCAATTGCAAGCTGTAGCCCGTCTTTCACGAAGAAACAAAAAACAGAAAACAAAAGAAAAAAACAGATGGACGTCAATGGATCTGATATGTCTGTGATAAATTGTCTTTTGGCTTGCTGTGAACAAATTCCATCAGAAATAGATGTATCTATATACTAGTATACTCCTTTGGCTGGACTACCTTGCTCCAGCAATGGTGTTCTGCAGGCACCTAAAAATCTTGTCGCTGTATGTTTTCAATTATGGTTGCAAGTCACCTATCATGCAGTGCTGAATTGCATACTTCCTCCACAATAAGTGAAATCTGTCTGCATTGGGTGGCCAATAGGATCCGCCCAATGGGGCAACTGTGCAAGTGCTGCAATGTCAGACACTTCACACCTGGCTTTTGCTGATTCTTTCAGTTAGAATCATCTCCATCTGCATGTATGATTGTATGATTGATCACCACTGCCAGAGACGAACTGCGCATTCTGCAAAAGTGAAATCTGTTTCATGCTCCAAGAGGTCTGCTTGAAAGGCAAGTACAGTACTTTACTTGCTAGTAAGGCTGCACTGTGCACCGCATGTGGCTATGGCATGTGTACAATGCTCATCAAGTCGTTTCCCACTTCGGAAAGTTTCTTTTCCATGGGCTTTGGAATGGAGTTGCAAAACAAGGTGTGCTGGATGTGTAGGATGGTCACACTCCTCTCTATCATGCAGCACGGGGTGAAAGTGCAGCTGTGTTGCCTCTTCTGAAGAAGCATGGTGCTATTGGCGAGGTATTGAGTGTTTGCCATGCTCATTTTCAAAATCTATGTTGTGGATCTGGATTGCAGCTCATGTAAAACGATGGGAACACATGATACACTTTCATGGTGTTGAATTTCACAGTGATCTCAGATTTTTGACAAATTTCCTCACAAAATGGCCATTACTCCTCTGCGACATCTATTGAAACTTATGTAAGGCTCTGGACCTGGTGTCGATGAGTTCCAGCTGTGCTTTGGGTAGCTGGGCCCAGACTGGTGGCACCAGAGGCACTGCCTCCAGCACCTAGAGCATTCCCCATTTCATCAAGCCATATTTTGCCTGTACAATCATCTTGTGACTTGTGTACATTTCCCTGTGACAAGTATTATTGCAGTACAGCACAGACCCATGTTAATAGGGCCCACCTATACATTCTCCACATGATGTGCACTAACACTGCCCCAACAATGCTGGGTTCAGATTAGTCCCTTGTTCCTGTGCCTCTAAGCGACAGAGCTCGTGACAAGTGCCGTATGTCATTGGGAGATCTGGGTTGAGCCCCTCAGGTATGAGACAATTGAAACAGGGAGGAAAACTGCACAGTGGTTCAATGACACTGAAGAGTGAAGGGTGGTGCTGACCAACCTGTATTCTTCTGTGTAGGAGAGGCCCACATACAATGCTGGAATTGTGACGTTTCTCCAGAAGCAAATGATTAGAATCGAGCACATGGTTGACGGGCTGCACGATGAGTCTGCTGAAACCTTGAAGACTATTCTATGGAAAGCACAGCGGTTTATTCAAAAGCATGAATTACCCTTCCGTCTGAAGAAGTTCTACACAGCTGCTGATGCAAGACAGGCGGCCCAAGGAATATGCCGAGAACTGAAAGAGAAGATTACATTCAGATTTGCAGAAAACAGTGATCCTCAGGACACCATTCAAGTGGTAATACCAGAACCCATCTTCATCAAAGACAAGCAGCATCTGAATAGCATGCTGTCATATGTTCTAGAAGGCAAGCAATGCAACAATGCCAGCAAAGGGCTTCTGCACAAATGGGAAGATGCCAGAGGTAAGCATGTGAAATGGAGTTCGGATTGGCTAGTTCCTGATGAGGCAGTTGAGGTTGGAAATGTGTTAGGACAAGGTGGACAGGCATGCGTGCATGAGGGCAGGTATAAAGATGAATTGGTTGCTGTCAAAAAGCCAACATCATCTGGACAGGACCTGCCCATTGACAAGTTGGCTGCATTTCTGAAAGAGGGATATTTACATTCTGAGCTTGATGCCCAGTATGCCCCCCGGCTGTTTGCCATTACAAAGTCAGGTTGGATTGTCATGGAAATGGCAGACAGAGACTTGCACACACTTTGCCAGGCGGAGCAGGACTTGGCTTGGTCAAAAAAGCTTCTCCTTCTTCAGAAAGGTGCCTTTGCATTGAAGTACTTTCACAGCAAGGGAATTGTTCACAGCGATGTGAAAGGCAGCAATTTTCTGGTGTTTGGGTCTCTTGAAGATGACTATGTTGTCAAGCTGGCAGATTTTGGCACTGCAAGCGATGACACCTTTACAAGAAGCTTGACAGTGAGGGTGGAAGAGGGGACTGATGTGTATATGGCTCCTGAAGTTTACATGGGCGCAGTGTCCACTGCGGCATCAGACATCTTTGCCTTGGGCGTCGTTATGTATGAGGTCATAACAGGCAAGGAAGCTTACTCTGTTGAGGGTAAAGAACGGAGTAAATATTTTCTCACGTGGATGAAAACTCAGGGCAGGAATGGGGGAAGGCCAGTTGAACCTTGCACCATTTTTGCACGGGACTGTCCAGAGGAGATGCACAACTTGATGAAGATGTGCTGCAGTGAGGATCCTGAGGGGAGACCACTTGTGGAAGAGGTTTGCATGCAACTTTCAGAGATGCCAAAGGCTTGGGTCGCTGCGGTGGGTGCTGCTGTCTTTCTTTCTTGCAGTGTTCCATCAACATCCCCACGATATGTCCACATTGCAATGTGTTGCGGCTTGGATCCTGTTTTTCCTTCTGTTTTTTCTCAGTAAGGCATGGAACATGCTCCTGTTTTATCACTTAGAGGGTGAGATGTTGTGCAAATATTGGTTCAGAGAATAAATTGATTGATGATTGGAAAGCAATTGGGTACGGTGGACTTGATGTGCCATGGAACAATGTGATGTGAAATAGCTGTTGCTCATGGCAGGTCACAATTAGTCTGAGGTCCGAATAGCAGATTTTGGCCCCATAGTAGCATATTCATCAATTTGATGCCTTTAATCACCCATCTATTCTGCTATGTTGTGGTGGAACAGGGTTCCTCTGTGGCCAAGCTCAATTCAATCATTGCAGAAGTTGAGGAGCTGATAAAGGATGAATGTATGCTGTACAACAAGAAAAAGCTGGTGTTTCTATATCAGCAGATGGAGAAGATCCAAAAGTTGGAGGATGCAGCAGTTCAGAAAATGGAAGAGAGGGCTCCAGAGGCATTTGAATCTCTCACAGAGACTTTGCAATTGGGTGTGAAGCTGATCAGACATCATGCAAACGTGTGCGCATGTCACTTTTGGTATCCCATCAGAGAGGTCAAGTGCCTTGTTGAGAAATATTGCCAGGACTTCCGCACCTCTGTTTGCAAGCTGGACTGTAAAATCTATAAAGATATCGAGTGCAAAATCCCCAAAGAAGATGTTGCTGAGGACAAAAAAATGTTTGAAATGATCTTGAAATACATACTGGAGGATGCAGACCCTATGATGGAAGACACATGCAAGGAGTGGGAGCATGTAAAGGACAGAATGGCTGACCTGTTGGACAAAATGCAGCCCATCAGCGATGAAGAAATTCCCATGCAGGATGAGGAGAGTGACGACGATGGGGTGTATGAAGCACAGTGGGAAGGAGAAAACGTACTGGTCAAAAGGCAAGCTCCTGCCTCCAGCAGACTTGAAGGTTTGGAGAGATTTGGTAAGGTTTGTTCATTTCTTGCTCTTCACAACTGCAAAGAGCATGCCCAGATGGCTGGTGTGCTCGCCATCACCAAGTCAGGCTCAATAGTGATGAAAGGGGGAGAGGCAGATTTGGTCAAATGGTACAAGGCCCTGGACAGCAGTTTGTCATGGCATTTGAGGCTTCACGTCCTGTGGCAGGCCTCAACCGCCTTGGGCAAGCTGCACGACGATCCCATTCCGCTCGTCCACTCTAGCTTGAAGACGAAGAACTTTGTGGTGGACGACGTTGAGAGCGAAGAGCCGCACGTCATACTCTGTTGCTTTGAACCGATGAGTTGTCGGGAAGATGCCCAGAAGATTGAGTATCATCAGCCAAAGAGGACCCTGTATGATGCCCCAGAGCTGCACAGGGGAAAGCCTTCCACTGTCCAGAGTGACGTCTACAGCTTTGGTGTGGTTGTATGGGAGCTCGCTGTGCAGCTGCCCCCACAGCAAATGACTTCTGGTCAGCTGGGCATTCGTCCTGAAAAACTACTTAACAGGCTTCCCGATGATTGCCCGCAAGGGTTGACATCACTAATCAAGAAATGCTTGTCGCCTGAGCCCTCAAAGAGGCCAAGGATGTGTGAACTGCAAAGTCAATTGCTTGACCTCAAGAAACAGTTCGATCGTCGAAATGTGTCTGCTGTCTGAGCTCCGGCAGTGGTCAGTACACACCAGCAGCATCACTGCGTGAAAAGGATGCCCATGCATTTTGCAAGCAGCAGCCAGTCTCAGGAATAATTTGATGAAGATTGTCCTGGCATCGCAAGAGTGCACAATTGAAACTGAATGTGTTGGGAAAGTGTTATATAGATGTGTAGAAACGCCAAGGAATGGCAGCAGGGAATAGCAGCGAATACTGCGGCATCAGTTGCAAGGGGAATTGACAAGGTAATGCATGATTGGGCAAAGGAAAACATATGAAGTGAAGTTATAGCAATAGGGTGGAAAAAACAAGAGGCGGTTAGTCAAAATATGTTGTTGGACATGTGTACAACAAATGGGTGTGACAGAATGTCCGTATTACAGTACCATTCTCCCTTAAAAGGGTTTGGATAAGTGACTGTGTGTTCTGATCGTCATGTGTGTTTGTGTGTGTGCACATGCTGTTGCCCACCAAGGATGTAATGCCCAGCCACGCTCTCCCAGAATAGTGATAATGTAATTTCCAATGCCAAGGAATGTCAGCGCCAGTGTTCAAACACATTAGGCAAGCCCTTCCTAACTGTTTAGCCAGGCCTCTTACTATCTCCCTTGCCCCAGAACGCCCCACCCCATTCGCCCCCTCCTAACTGGATCGTCCACGAATTGGATGCCAACGATGTTCCATGCAAGCGCTTCGTGTCCACCTTGCACTGTTGCAGGATTATGCAAGTCTCTATGGGAACCACCTTTTAATTGATGTTCTACTTAGGAAACACACTGTTTTGATTTCAGTGCACATCAACATACCAAAATCAAAGCAGCGTTTCCCTTGTAGAGACTGCAAGCTTGTATTCAGTGACTTGCTCACCATCTTCAATGGAACGAGGAAGAAGTTCGAACAACTTTGCACAAGACTGCCATGCTGGACCCTGTTCACCAGGAGATGTCAAGCGAACATTGTGAACAATGAAATGGCAGACAGGGTCAAACCAGTCATTGAGAGCGCAGGGCCGAAGTGCTCATCGTCCCAAAAAGCCACACTTGTCTGGAATTCGAAGTGACTGCCTCAATCGATCTTATGCAAGGCGGGGTCTGGAAATGAGAAAAGGCCCAACCTCCGGGGACGTCCCCAGGGACAGCAGGGACGTCCCCGCCGACGCCCTCGAAAGGGTAGGGTAGGGGGGGGGGAGGCGTCCCCAAAATCTGCCCCTGGCTGGCAGAGCGATTCCCTCCCCAACGTCCCCACAACCTCAGCTCGCCGGGACGTCCCCATTGGAGCTAGGGGGCTCAAGCCCCCCCCAAGGGGGGGGAGGGGAGGCGTGAGAAATGCGTCCCCAAGTTCCCGCATTCCCATGGGGGCCAGCGGCCTCAGGGGCCCCAAGGGGAGAGGGAAAGGGGGGAAACATCCGTCCCCGCGCCCCCACGTCCCCACGGGGGGCTAGTGGCCTCAAGGACCCCCCAAGGGGAGGGGGAGGGTGGGAACGTCTGTCCCCGCGTCCCCGCATCCCCAAGTCCCCATGGGGGGCCCTTGAGGCTGCTGCCCCCGTAGGGACGTGGGGACGTGCAAATGCTCCTCCTCGGCTACCAAGCGATGAAATTCGGCGACGCCCGGCGACATGGGGTCTTGGGGATGCCGGGGATGTGAGGCCTCTGCCAGGTGGGGACGGAACTTTAGGATGGCCGGTGACGTGCGGTGACGGGGACATTGGGGGTGGAAACCGCCCTCTACATGGCGACATCCCCACCCCAGGTCAGCGATGTCCCCACCCCCCATCCCCAGGAAATTCTGGGACGTCCCCAGAGATTGAGCCTCTAGTGCTGGAAATCGCTTTTTGCAAAAGGGTTCTTTGAGAGCACAGCAATGTGCCAACAGAGGGTGTTATTATCATCAAGAATGCAAACGAGCCCGCTCGTTTTTGTCAATGAATCAGCTGGTAACTGATGTCTTAGCATTCCCGCATAATCATGTTGTGCCTTTGCAATTCACTTTGCAAATGACTACACAACAACTGTGCCAGTACCATGTGTATGCTGTAGTCCAACCCCACGAGCTAGGGAACTATCCCCTGAGGATCTGCCTGCTCACCTCTAATCCAATCAATCCTGTTCATGGCTGGTGTTGTATGTGTGGCAGTCCCTGCTATTGCCTGTGCAGCTCGCTGCTCCAAATTCTGCATCCTCTATGCAACTTCTGTCCTGGAGACCAGGGCGCCCTCTGGGCTTCCCAAAAACCACTGCCCTTGGCTCTGTCCCGGTAAGCACAATCCTTTGTCATCGCGCCTTGTATGACGCGGCAATCACTCCCACATGTCTAGCTCCGGTGACAGTCTCCACTGTCCCGTCAATATGCTCCACACAGTCTTGGCCCTGCAGCTCCATCATATCACGTCCTACTATGATCCCACTCACGAGCTGATCCACTGATGATCTATACTATAGTGTAGTCAATCGATGTAGACCTGATCTTGGGCTATTGTCACTCCCCTGATTCCTATCCCCAAGTAGCCAAACAGCCTTTACCTCCCACCTTAAGTTATCCTACTTCAACTGGTGTTCAGTAATCACTTTCACACACAGTTACCCCCAGTACTCTGCAGGGTGACCTCTCGGTCCACTTGGTAACTTTCCAGAATGTGAGTCTATAGCTACTAATAAAAACTTAGTCCCAGTGCTGGCCGAACAACCTAAGAAAGTGTCCCTTGCCCAGGACGAGACTATTGTAAGAGGTCTGGGTTGGCCTATGGCACCCCCAACCTGTCTAATGTGTTAGGACTCAGCCACCCAAGGATCAGTGGGGGTGGCTGGCCTGTCTACCTCTGGTGGGCAATGGCCTCACCCTCTGACCGGTTCCAAGGGAGATGCCTCTTCTAGGAGGTAGCACTCTGGACCCAACTGGGCCTGCCTATTGCCATGCTCAATCTCCTCCTCCTTCCCCTAGTCAGGCCCCCTATCTTGTGGCAGAGCAGTCTGGTTGTGACCCGCCTGCAGTACCTGCAACGTAAGGTGAAGCAGCAAATGTCCCCTACTTCTTGAGTGGGACCTTCACTGCTATTCTATAGTGGGTGGCAATTGAGGTTGACTACTTCTCCCAACTGAAGGGTGTTGGCCTTCGCGTGTTCGGCTACACGACGGGCGCCTAGCGCACGCATTGAATCCGCTATTGAATCTGCTGTCGAATCTGCAGATCTCGCGATTGCCCAACACCGCCGATCCCCGAACACCAATGGTCCAACCAAAAGCTCCTCAGGCTCACAAAACAAACTCTTGCAGGCACACAGCACTGCGATTCAGCACCCGTGGAGGTGCTGACCACTGCCTGGGGTAATGGAGGCTTCTGGAATCTGCAGTCCCTTAGGCTGCGTGGTCACTCTGTGATGTTGCGCCTCTCACTCAGCTCTTGGCTCTGGGCTTCGTGCTCCAAAACCAATTTGTTGTGGCCCCATTGGCAGCCGCTAGTTTCCGGAGTCGTGGGGGTCGCCCTGCCCTGCGGCTCGGCTGTTGGAGGTCAGCTGTCGCAGGGCCCTTTTAATAGCCTGCGCTGGTCCCTTTTCTCCGGCGCGCGTCCCACTTCATCCGCCTGCACCCAATCGGGCCGATGGCCCCCTCCGCCGAACCCGGCGGGCGTAATCGGGGTGCTCGCTCGTACTATGCGCGGTGGGCCCTCTTGTGCTCTGGGATCGGGCGGCCCTGCCGTTTGAAGATGGCGGGGTGCAAGGCAGCTTGCTCCCCGGGCCACGAGGCCCGTGCAGAGCGCGGCAGTGAGCCAAACACGATAACAGAACGGGGAGCAACGCCTCCCCGCGTATGTACTGGTGGTGGACCACATTCCGGTCCGACCACCCATCACACAGACACCTTACAATGTACACCAATGTATCGCAGTTGTATCGCCTGGCATATCCCGCACATCGGACCCACCATCGATACATCGCAGCCCCATCTACCCCCACGGCCTGTCCCTTAAGTACAGGGACTTCCCTAGGCCATAAACTACTCCATACTTGGGGGATTTAGACAAATAAAGAGCCTACGAGTATCTAGACATCACAAAGAATCCAAATAATGGGTCCAATCTCACAGATGACTCACCAACCAAGACTAATGGTCATAAATCTCTCGACCCCCATGTGTTTCCACAACAATACTTTCCCCTGGGGGGAGTTTTCACCCTTGAAAACAAGACCGAAATCCATGTCCTCTATCGGCTACCCAATGGTTGACCTAACTGTGAAGCTTATGTCACCTCAGGCATACTCCACTGACTATCTGTCTAGTCCCTCTGTGGAATTTCGGGATATGTTCTAGTGTACAAGAAAATCAACTGACCTTCTTGTTATTGGGACCTCTTCAGTACCACTGCAACAGCTGCTCATCCCAATCTCCAAGTCAGGTCTCTCCCATCACTATGTCGGATGTACACTCGTATTTATCTTGAAAGCAGAAAAGATGAAATAATGCTATGACCTGTATCCGAATACCTCAGGTCAGCACGAGTGCTATATGCCTGTACACTAATAGTGTCTCTGGTCGACCAGGAGCATCCGACTATCCACTACCTGACAAGTCTGATATAGAAATAGACAACATATGAGCCAGCTGTCCATCTAGGGATCGGTGTAAATCTACTGATAATCCTCTCTGTCCAAATCCCTCAGATGAATCTCTCCGAAGTATATTCTCCCCTTTGAAACTACAGCATACCTTAGTCATTCCATCTCTATATCCACCATGACAAGGTACCCCAATAAAAGATTTCTCGACTCCTCACTGCACGAATCGATCATAGTCCTCTATCTATCTCAGCCCAATCATCAATCAGTAAAGCATTGGTCTGACCTCAACATCCGGTGTCCCATACCACTATCAATCTTACCAGCACCAAGCCTCATGTCTCATGGACTGAACATAAATCAAACTCCACTTCGATCTGAAGACAATGATGTAATCATGGAAACTCTTATCACCCAATGCTAATCACAACAACCCTTTCAGGTAAACACTGTGAC